TGTAAAAAGTTTAAACTAATTCTGATAAAAGTAAATTTTTTATGAATTTTTAAAGTTTCCTCAAAATCGGGCCAAAGTCCCTGTACTATAGCTCTGGGTCACTGGCCAAATTTCAGAAATGACTAGGAGAAAATTCGTCATTTTAAAAATTTTTTCTGATGCATATAAACATTCTTATGTTGTGTAAAAAGTTTAAACTGATTCTAATCAAAATTGATTTTTTAATGAATTTTTAAAGTTTCTCCAAAATCGGGCCAAAGTCCCTGTACTATAGTACAGGGACTTTGGCCCGATTTTGTCAAAAATGACAAGGAGAAAATTTTTGATTTTTATAAATCTTTATAAAAATATTTATAAATTTTATAATTTTTATCTTTATAATTTTTATAAATGAAAATATTAAAAATTTAAATTTTTCTTGACTTACTCCAGTTAGAAATGAGAAATAGAATCCATACATGTCCTGTCCTTCTATTGATAAAGAAACCTGTTCCTCAGAAGGTCCTTTAGTACTTTGTGTCACTTTAATGAAGACTCTTCTTTTAAGTCTAAACTCAGGTATGGGCAATCCAAGCTTCTCCATTACCATTGTGGAGACTTCCTCACATTTAGCATGAATGCATAGTGCAGCCATACTGTGCAATGGTGTCTTTTGAAGGTTAACTATAACCAGCTTCTCTCCTCTCTCAGCGACACACTGTAATGATGATATCATGTGACTATCATGTGAGACGCTATACTCACTGACCTCTGGTATGTCGGCTGCTGGAGTGACAGTGAGACTGGATCCCATTGCTAAACAAAGGTCTGCTACTTCACCTTCTTCTGTACCTCTTGTCAACTCACCTAGTAAAAAAATTAAAAAGAAATTTTGCTTATAAACATTTTTTCTGTAATTTTATTTTTCTTTTACTGTCTGGAAGGCCTTCTCCAAAGTTTATTATCGTGTCATGTAAGATGCCTTGACAGCTTGGATTGTCACATTTTCTACCTAAATTATCAATGAAAACAGGGCATAACTATTACCAAGAGTACATGACTCTTGTTATTACATTACTTTGCCATAGCTATTTTTAGCATGGAACACTGATCAAAAATCATGATCAAAAAAAATGATTTTGATTACATTAAAAATCATATTTTTGATGTAATCAAAAATATGATTACATATACATTTCCAAAAAAATATGATTACATGTACATGTAAGATATATATTTTATAACATATTACATTACATTACACGTCTCTCTTTCTTGTTCATACAGTTGTTAGGACGCTCCATTGATTTGACTAGTCTATTGTCCCAGAGGTTAGGGAGCAACATGTTAAAGGCCATTGACACTGCTATACATGTTTTTGAGTCAAGGAACCTCTGTGGAGTTGTGGTGAGTTACATGTACATGTGCATGTAAAAGTAAAGAAGTTATTATAATTTTTCTTGTCCCAAACTCAACTTGGATATACAGTACATGTACATGTATACCTTAATCTTGATATTGGGTACCATAGCAATACTGGTTGCTGGTGTATTAAACATTGATGATTGGGAGACTACCTGACTTGTGACGTTTTGAAAGTGATTTTGTTTTATTATTAAATTGTCCTTTAATTTATTTAGTTTTTGTTATCTCGTTATCTCTTAATTGCTATAAAAATGCAGTGTTTACATGTATTGTATATGTATGCATGTTGTGTCACATACAAAAGTATGGCATGTAGTCAAATTATGACCATTTTAAAAATATCAAATGTCCTTTACTTTTTCTAAATAATGGCTCCAAAATCACCCCCCAATTTTTATTACATTTTCTGATACATATTGATGTCCTTATGCTGTGTAGAAAGTTTGAGCCAATTCCGACTTTAAAATTTTGAGTTATGGTCATTTTTTTAAAAAGAGCCAAAATCTGAAAAATACCCTGTACTATAGCCCATGGTTTTTTCCAAAAAATGGCTCCGAAATCACTCCCAATTTTTATCGCATTTTCTGATACATATTGATGTCCTTATGCTATGTAGAAAGTTTGAGCTTATTCCGACTTCAATTTTTCAAGTTATGGCCATTTTTAAAAAAGAGCCAAAATCTGAAAAATACCCTGTACTATAGCCCATGGTTTTTTCAAAAAAATGGCTCCAAAATTACCCCCAATTTTTATTACATTTTTTGATGCATATTGATGTCTTTATGCTGTGTAGAAAGTTTGAGCCAATTCCGACTTCAATTTTTCAAGTTATGGCCATTTTAAAAAATAAGCCATTTTCTAAAAAAATCCCTGTACTATAGCGCATGGTTTTTTCTGAAAATGGCCCCCAAATCACCCCCAATTTTTATTACATTTTCTGCTACATATTGACGTCCTTATGCTATGTAGAAAGTTTGAGCTGATTTTGACTTAAATTTTTCAAGTTATGGTGTAGTTTTACTGTACATGTACAGTGTACAGTGTACATCTCTCCATCATTCATTCATTCATTCATTTATTCACTTAACTTGATAATGTATACTTTGTACATGCAATACACATGTGATAATATACATTATTAGTAAATATATTTTTTCTAATGTCACTATAGGAATTGCTTCATCTACTTGAGATCAACAGATTAACTCACCAAATGTTATCAAATTTTGTCGTACTTGATCCGTTTGAGGCAATGTACGCTGAGGCCAACAACTCAGTCGTCTCTCCTCACGGGAGAGTAACTCTTCACATCTTCTGGGAGCTCATTTATGACTTTATTCCTAACTATTGCTACAATTCAACTACCGACAGGTAACAATAAGGATTCATGTGTACTCCATTATATATGCATATGCATTGTTGTATAAAAGCCACTCATATTTGATTATCATTGTCTTGCCTTATGTTCACCCCTAAAGGTGGATTCTTAATATGACGCATGTGCGTCCGTCACGACTGGAAGTGCTGTATAAACCAATGGGAACATACGTCAATGCGTCAGATTAGAAATCAGTTCTATTCTGGCGCATTGATGCATACTCCCATTGGTTTATACAGCACTTCCTGTCATGATGCTAGCGCATGAAAAGCAATGCGTCATATTGAGAACCCACTTAAGGCTCTGCCTTTTAAAAATTGATTATCTTTTTCTATCTCTTTTCGATTCTCTTTATTTCCTCACCCCCTCCCTATTATTCTTCCTCTCTCTTCCTCTTTTATAAATTTATAAATTGTCTTTTATAAATTCCTTTTTTCCTATAATTATTCCTTTTGATTCTTTTTCACTCACTAACTTCATTTTCCTACCTTCTCTCTCCCCCTCTTTCTCTCTCCCTCCATTAGATTTGTTCTCGCTCATTTACCTCAAGAGCCACCAGAGAGAGAATCGGCTCCTAAAAGTCAAACAGTCACCACCATGTTATATGGTAACAAGCAACTGAAGGAGGCTTACCAGAGCATATTCACTCTTTATGGTGGATTTGTTGGTTCTATTCATTTCAGTGCCCTCAGTAAACTATTGGGATATCATGGAATAGCAATGTTACTGGAGCAACTGCTTAACGTTATTAGTGTAAGTGGTGGGTGGGGCTAATTTTAATTAATTAAATGTAACTAATGCAGATTTTAGCATATTTGCATTTACATGTGTTACCATTTATTTATCATTATTTATTTATTTATTTATTATTTATAGATTATTCAGACTCAGTTAAAGCCTTATGTTGAAGCTCTGGTTGCTGGGTTACCACAAAAGTGTAAACTCCCTTTCTTTCAGTATGGATCCAAAGGTATTGACAACAACAACAACAACAACAACAACAACAACAACAATAATAATAATAATAATAATAATAATAATAATAATAATGATAAATTGATAATGTTTTAATGTTGCAAGTACTGAAATACATGTGCATGTAATTGAAACTTTAATTTATGAAAATATCCATGTACATGTACAGTACATGTAATTGATAAACTTTTGTAATATTGATAATATATATTGATGTACATCATACTCTACTATTTATCCCTTTCTCTCTCCCCCTCCCCAGGTGTTCTAGGGTTCTATTTAGCTCAATTGGGTCCAGTCATACAGTACAAGGACCTCAGGACTGACGTCTTTCAAGCTTTCAAAGAATTAGGAAATGCAGTGATATTCTCTCTCCTCCTTGAGAAGGCTCTCGGCCAGCAAGAGGTTGTGGACATACTGCAGGCTGCACCTTTTCAAAACCTGTACCCTAAACCCTACGTGAAAGGTAAGTTTAGAATCATATAGATATACATGTAAATGTCACTGGATTCCCCACAAAGCATGCTAAGTGAGCTAAACAGCATGAGCTTCATGAGCTGACAAGCACTACAATACAGTACATGCCATTTGGAGCAACTTTAAAAAATCGTTAAAAATCCAATTTTGATCGAAATCAGTTCAAACTTGATATACAACATTAGAACATGTATATGTATGAGAAAAATTATAAAAATGAAGAATTCTCTCTTAGTCATTTTTGATGAAATTTGGCTGAAGACCCTGTACTATAGCACAGGGACTTTGGCCCAATTCTGGAGCAACTTTAAAAATTCATAAAAAATCCAATTTTGATCGGAATCAGTTCAAACTTGAAACACAGCATTAGAACATGTATACGTACAAGAATAAATTATAAAAATGGAGAATTCTCTCCTAGTCATTTTTGATGAAATCTGGCCGAAGACCCTGTACTATAGTACAGGGATTTTGGCCCGATTCTGGAGCAACTTTAAAAATTCATTAAAAAAATCCAATTTTGATCAGAATCAGTTCAAACTTGAAACACAGCATTAGAACATGTATACGTACAAGAATAAATCATAAAAATGGAGAATTCTCTCCTAGCCATTTTTGATGAATACCCTGTACTGTAGTACAGTACAGGGTCATCTTTGGCCCAATTTTTTAGCAACTTGACAATCCACTGACAAGAAGTTGCATGAGGACTATACCAAAATGGGAATATTTCTTTAAAGTTACATTGAGTGTACACCACTTATTAATACTGTCCTTTCTCTCTCTCCTCAGATGATCAGAATATGGAGACTGTAATGAAGAACCTTGACCAACAGTACGCAGCACTGAACATGGTATCAATGATATCACGTTATGGCACTGAGCAACAGGGAGCCAATGCTCGTGATGCTGAACTACTCACAAGAGAGAGACTCTGCCGGGCACTATCAATGTTTGAACTAGTCATGCAAAGAATCAAATCATTCCTCACCTGTGACCCTGTAAGTATACTAATAACATACTAATAGTGTACTAAAAGTAACTGTACAATACATGTGTAGTGTGTACTAAGATTTATTGTGTGGCAATTAAGATTAGCATGATACATGCAAATGCACTTGAATTAAGATTTTTCATATACAAAAATTGTTGTATTAGTATACTGAAATATCCTATTTTCAATAGATATGGGAGGGGCCCCCTCCAGCTAACGGTGTGATGTCAATTGATGAGTGTCAAGAGTTCCACAGACTATGGAGTGCTATACAGTTTGCTTACTGTCTACCTCCCACTAAAGGAGAAATTACTATTGAGTGAGTGATCATTATGAACATGTACATGTACTGTATTCATAGTTTGTAAACAAGTCGTGAATCTGCAATGATAGAACAATGCTTTTATAATTCATTGGGTTTTAATTATATTAATGGGCCCACCCATATTGTGCGATATTATGTGATATGGGGATATTGATATCTTGTATCTATCTAGTTTTCAGATAATTTTTTCTTATTCAACCTTAATTTCCACTTATTGTACATGTTTATGTTCATCTCTCCTTTCTCTTTTTTATGCACTCTTTCTTTCCCTCCCTCCTCTCTCTCTCCCTCTCCCTCTCTCCCTCACAGGCAGTGTTATGGTGAAGGGTTACAGTGGGCCGGGTGTGTCATCATGACTCTGTTAGCTCAAGAGAAGAGATTCGCTTCTTTGGACTTCTCTTATCACTTGCTTCGTGTTCATGAGTTTGATGGACAAGATGGAAATGTACAAGGAATTGTGAGTGACATAGAAGAGAGGAGAGGATAGAGAGGGAGAGAGAGGGAGGGAGGGAGGGAAAGTAAAGCATCTTTGGACTTTAGGTACTATCTTTGTTACAATGTACATGTACATGTATTGTATTAAATTATGAATACGATATCATTTCTTCTTTCTCCTTTCTTTTAGGATCTTAAGCAGATGATAAAGCGTATCAAAGTCTATCGTGATCTTAATAATCAAATTTTTGTTATATTAAACAAACATTTATCTAGCAGTGACATACTTCAGAGACAAGTTAGGGAGTATCAGCCTCCAATATTCCAGGCCACTCAGGCATAAGAGTATGGGAGTATGAGAATGAATCTTTATGAGTAAACTCCTAGTTATTATACTCGTTGTGATTAGTTTGTGTTTTTAATGAATCATATTCTCTTGTTATTGAGAGAGAACTAAAGTATTATTATTATTATTATTATTATTATTATTATTATTATTATTATTATTGTTATTATTATTATTAATATTATTACTCTATTAGTATCATATTAAGTGTCTTAATCAACTGAATGTGTTATTCTCCTCCTTTGTTCTTTTTCTCTAGTTTTCTTTATTGATACATGTAGAAATAGTTTATTATTGCAGGTGGTGCAATGCAATGAGGCATAAATGTATTGCGAAGAATAATTGTTACACAACCAAATGTTATCATGCCCAAATCAGCATTTTTGCCCCAAAATAATGGACCATGTCTGATATCCTATACTGGTACAGCGCTGACACATTGTATTATAGATCATGCCTCATATTCTGGGATGAATCAGTACAATTATTAATCATGATTGTATCATGGCTGATTTTCATAGTTGTATCATGACTGATTACACGAAAACCATGATTCAGGACTGATATCAGTCCTGATGTAAGTAATAACAATTGGTTGTGATAGTGCAATGAATGTACTTTGTCAGTAGGGGGGCCATACCTATGGCTCTGCTTATGTTTTTAGTTCCTGTCCATGTTTAGTTGTCTCTGGTTGTTTTTAAAATGGCCTGTAACAGAGTTATCACTTATGAGGAATTCTTGGATCAAAAGCCGCCAATAAAAGAACTAACTGAACAAATTGATACTAAGAATGAATGGCTTATGTTTGGAGTTATACTAGGACTGAGTAAAGATGCTATACATCAGCTACCAAGGGGCATAATCACTGGAAAGACTGTAGCATTGCTTGAGTTATGGCTACTTGCTCCTAATGCAAGCAGGAGACAATTGCTAGAGGATTTAAGAAAGGATCCAGATAAGAAGGATGTTGCTGACAATTATGAAAAGCACCTCACTGATACTTATGAGGCAGAATGTTAGTCATAAATAATGGACTATAATACATGTACTTATAAATTTTTCTTCACCAATTACTAATGTTTTACGATAGGTAAACAATCATTTGAAGAGGAAGCTGCCAGTCAATGTTTTGTACCATCAAGAGAAGTAACAGTATTGGGTACATGTATTATGTTTAAGAATTAATTTACACTGTGTATGTAGATATGGAGGGAAAACTAAAGACAAAGAATGCTGAGATTGAGTATTTACAATCTACTATTAAAGAGAAGGAAAATGGTAGGAACACACCGTTTACTGTTGTATTAACTTAAATTTTATATTGTATAATAATTCAAGAAAAATGATGGCATAAATATAAGGAATATTAAATGATAAGGTTGTATTTCTTATTGTTGCACTTACACACACAGAAATGAATGATGCAAAGACAAAAATAAAAGAACTGGAGAGGTCTTTATCATTAGCTTCAGGTGTGATTGTAGATTCAAATAAACAATGGTCAGTCTATATATTGCAGATGATATGAACACAAATCTTGAGAAAAAAGATCAGGAAATTGATGATTTAAGGATTTCTATTATAAGGAAAGATGATGGTAATGTTTACTTGGTAGCTTTGTTTTTATTCATTAAAATATAGAGTCAGATTCTAAGATTCGCAAATTACAAAGTATTATCCATGAAAAAGAAGAAGGTAACTAATTTAAATTTTAATAATAAGGTTTTATTTCTTATTGTTGCAGAAACCAAGGCAAAAATAAAAGAACTGGAGGGGTCTTTATCATTAGCATCAGGTATGTACATTTAATACACAATGACATTAATCTAAATATAAGCCAATGGTCACTATACAGATGAAAGAAGTGAACTGAAAAGGAATCTTGAAACAAAAGACCAGGAAATTAATGATTTAACAGTGTCTACTCAAGAGAAAGATGAAGGTAGAGAATATTAACAATAAAGATTTATTTTCTTTTGTTGCAGAAGCTAAGGCAAAAATAGAAGAACTGGAGAGATCTTTATCATTAACTTCAGGTACATGTACACATGAATCTAAATACAAGCCAATGATCATTCTACAGATGAAAAAAGTGAACTGGAAAGGAATCTTGAGACAAAAGATCAGGAAGCTGATGATTTAAAAATGGCTGCTCAAGAGAAAGATGAAGGTAAAGAATAAAGTTTTATTTTTATTTTTATATTTATGTACAGAAATGAACAGTGCCAAGGAAAGAGTAGAAGAACTGGAGAGGTCTTTATCATTAGCATCAGGTATAATTGTAGACTCAAACTAATGTAGTCAGTCTATATGCATATTGCAGCTGATATGAACAAGATGAAGAGAAGCCTTGAGACAAAAGATCAGGAAATCGATGATTTAAAGGTTTCTATCAAAGAGAAAGACAATGGTAGAGTTTGGTTTTGTAGCTTATTTTTATCATCAATTCATTAAAAATATAGAGTCAGATTTTAAGAATTGGGACTTACAAAATTCAATCCATGAAAAAGAAGAGGGTAATAAATTTAGATAAAAACTACTTACATGTATTATATATTGCTAATAAAGAATTATTGTGCAATCGATAATTACTTAAAAGGAAAGAGAAAGAAGTCAATACACTCAGTGAAGGAATTACTGGTATGTGCTGACATGCATCATCAATCTAAATTAAATGCACTGTAGCTAAAGAAACAGAGTTGGCTTCATTCAGAGAACTGTCAGAAGAACAATTACAAGAATTAGTGGCATTGAGATTAAAACTAACTGACAATCAGAAAGATATTGGTACAGTTCATCTTTTGATAGTCATAAATGATTATTTTATTTTCACAGCTGAGAAAGAATCAGTGATAAAGTCAGTAAATGAAGGTAATGGTAAAGTTAATTCACTGAAAAGTCATTTATACTAAACACATTGTAGAATTATTATCTGTGAGACAACTGCTAGCTGACAATCAACAAGATATCGGTATGCTTTCTTTTGATAATCATACATAATTACATCAGTTTTTATAGCTGAGAAAAAATCAGTAATCAAATCAACAAATGAAGGTAATGGTTAAGTTAATTCACTAAAAGTCAATCATACTATACACATTGTAGAATTATCATCCACGAGACAACTGCTATTTGATGCACAAGATCAACTTGAATTGCAAAGAAGTAAGCAAATGTGCAAAGGATATGATATGTATGATTTTAACAGAGTCTATTGATGAGTTGGAAGAGAAGATAGGGACACTATCTAGGATTAGTAAAATGAAGGATAGAGAAATTGAAGGTTTGAAGGCTAGGCTATATCCAAGAAATGAGCAAGACATGATCACCAGCACAAGTAAGTTACATGTACATGTACATGTACATGAGTTAATACACACTGTAGTAGATCTAGTATAATGTGCATGCACACAGGAGATCAAGGCAGTTATTTATTATTTATAATCTTTTGTTTGTAATAGAGTGGGGTAAATCTGAAGTGCGTCTTACCTCTCCATCAGCAGAACAGTGTACAGATGTCCTAACAAGAATAGAGAAGGATCATCAACAAGTTTACCTCAGTGATTCATCTTCTGATGTTGCTCAGTTGCTAGTAGTGCCTCTGCTGCAGAAGAAAAACATTAGAAGTTTATATATTCTCTCAACTTCTTTAACACGGGACTTCATTGACCTTTTCGCATCTCAAATGTTGGATGACAATACATTGGAGAGTCTGTATCTCAATCACAATTCCATTGATGATGATGGGGTCATTATTCTAGTGCAATCTCTTAAGTATAACAAGAAGCTTCAGTACTTATCGCTGGACTTTAATACTGGAATTACTTCACTTAGTGTCCCATCACTTGCTGAATTTATACGCATCAACTCCACATTGTCTGTTCTTTATGTTTCTCATACTAGGATTGATACCAGAGGAGTGCTGGAGCTGGTTGACTCTCTCAAATCTAACACAAGACTTGGAAAGATTGTGGTAGATGAGAAACACAAAGCAATGTGCACTAAAACTGTTGGTAAAATCAACAGACTAGACTTTTCCTATACAACTGCTACTGCTTATGAATATACTGGCGTAAATTTAGGTGGGCTGTTAGTTTAATGTGATCACACAATACAAGAATACACCTTAATTTATAAATTATTGGTTTGTGAATTGGTTTGCTGCATTCAATTTGCAGGAAAAGGAGGGGCTGAAATGCTTGGGGCCGGCATAGATAATAGAGTAAATTAAATTTTAATATCTATGGGGCCGGGGAGGTGTGGCCATCTCAGATCTCAGCTGCAGTGAAATGTCTTTCGATCGAGCTTTCGATGCTTTCTTGTCATCTCCTCCAACAATAAAGGAACTAACGGGGCATGTTGATGCTAGTACTAACTGGTACATAATTGGTACAATGCTTGACTTGGATCAGAAACGATTGAGAAGTATTGAAGCACTAGCTGGCCACACTGACACTCACAAGATGATAGAGATGTTCAATCTATGGCTGACCACTACTCCTACTGCTAGTAGGAGGCAAGTGTTAGATGTATTGAGAATAAGAGTAGTGGGAGAGAATACACTCGCTGATGAATATGAAAAGCATTTGAAAGAATTGCATGAAACTATTTGTAAGTGCTCTCGCCTCTTTATTTTCAACGACGTGTAATATTGTTTCTTTAGATATGTCACCATCCACTGAAGCAGTTTCTATTCTTCAAAGGAATATTGAATCATTGAATGAAGCTCTTGTCTCTCCTGTACAAGTGTCTCAACTGTTATACTGTAAGAGATGTATAAGTGAAGCTACTCTGGATGAAATGGAGAGGATAGATCAGAGGAGGTCACTGGATGACAAGAAGACCACTCTATTGACTGCCATGCAAGAAACAGTGTCTAGCGACTACAGGAAACTTAAAGATATTGCTACAGTGCTGTCTGATGTTGAACAAACAAGAGATATAGCCAATGAAATCATGACCAAATATGGTATGACATTGAATATTTTTACTACTTATGAATATTATTATGATTATAGAAGAGACAATTCCTCAAGAGGATGATAGTACAGTAGTACAACCACAGGAGGTAGTAGGTGGTAATGAAGATCGTGCTAGTGATATATTGAGGAATAATTACAGTGCTCTCTCTCAGTCAATTACTGAACCAGTTCGTGTGGCAAAGTGGCTTCATGAAGAGGTTAACCTCATCTCTGATGAGGATCTATCTTGTGTCATGTCTACCAGTAGAGCAGTTCTCCTCAAAGCTGTACGAGATGCTGTTCACTCCAATTACAAACACCTGGAGTTGTTTGTTACTGTATTGAGGAAGTTCTCAGAGACTACTCATATTGGAGATACTATCTTTGAAGAATACAGTGAGATAAATTCAAAATATATACCAAAATTAAATATTTTTTTGCAGAGCAAAATTTCAGCAATGATGACAAAGTGGAAACTTACTTAACTGAAAGTATATTGTTTAGTCTTGCACTTTACCAATTTTCTTAAATCTTTTTGCCCTTGCATATTGTATTTGCACTATCATGGAAGACAGAATTTCCCTTAAATTATTTATTACTGCAACTTAATACATGATAATGACACAATTAACCTTTAAAAAATTTAAAGTAGAGCTGAAACAGATATCCTGATTATCCGGATATCCGTTTATAAATTTAGTATCCGGATAGTAATTTTTTACAAATAGGATAATTAAACTTAATAACTAGACTTTATAACTAATTAATGCAATTCCATCAGTTAATGACCAGCAATAAAAGAGTAAGTTCTTGAAGCTACCAACCTTGTCAGCCACTTCTTAATCATTTTTGAGCTTCTTAACTACCAGAAATGTACAAGAATAACATCCTGGGGAATAAAAACTTTGCTTTTTTGATGTCTGCAGTCACTAACTAATTAACTTTTATTAATTAACTATCCGGCAAATATCCGAAAGAAATTTCAACAGGATATCCGGATAGTGAAATACCACATCCGTTTCAGCTCTATTTTAAAGTAGTACCCACAAATAATATTTGAGGAATTTGTTTTAGTGAATTTTTTTTCTAATTTATTCTTTTAAAGCTGAAGACTCGGACCACAGAATATCATTTTCTCATGATATGAAATCTAAATTTCAAGAAATACGAACAAATTTTGGATCAGCTTTTTTTCATGTACATTACTTGTTCTCAAAAAAACTGGCTAATTTACTCGAAGTAAAATCACTGCTTGCTGACTGTTTTCCTGATCTCAAGTCTGAGCTTTCTGTTGCTAAAACTATTTATGATGTTTTAGAGGTGGTAAAGAGAAAGTGTAGCATTGTTGATGTTCATCCTCTTGAAGTAATAGCTGTTCATTTCAAAGTAAAAGAGGCTGAAAACATCATCAAAGAATATAAAGAAAAAGCTAAAAAATTCTGCAAGTGGGTATCTGTGAGTGTTTCAGATCAATTGGAAGCAATTTCTACACATTTTAAAACTGTAACTTTCATCCTGAACTGGAATCCTAATAAAACTATTGTGCAAGATATCAATGATATACTCTTGGAGCTAGATCATTTACACAAGTATTCTATAAAAGTATAGCTGGATTTTGTATTTATGCTTTGTTATAATAATTAATTTTTAGGTAATGGCTGGT